AAAGCAGAAAGGGGAATAGGAAATGTGTAGTGTTGTAGTGAGGGGGTTGCAGTTTAGATAGGGTGGCCAGTGAAGGCCTTACTACAATGGTGGTGTTTGAGTCAAGGAAGTAAGGGAGAGACCAAGTGGATACCTGGGGGACTAGAATTCCTGGCTGAAGGAATAGGAACTGCAGAAAGGCCAAGGCATGCCTGTTGTGTTTAAGAAACTGCAAGAGGGCAATGTGTCTGGAGTAGAGTGGAAAGGGGGAGAGTAGATGAGATGAGAGAGATAATGGTTGAGTGGCTGGTGATTGTTAGTGTTCAGGCTTTACGGTACATTGGAGGGATCCTAGGACCAGGTGTGGGATTATCTCTGGGCCTCAGTTTTTTCATCACTAAAAAGTAAACAGAAGACTAAGATGATCTTTTAAGTTCCTTTCTGCTCTAAAATAGTCTTTAATTTGAAACCTATTATTTCTCTTCCATTTCTACCTTTTCAGTTCTTTTACAAGCAATTAGTTTATCAGTTGGGATTCTTCTGCATTTTTCATGAGCTCATCTCTGGTTGTGCTCCAGCCAGCCAGGTGAACTTTTTCCTTTATGCTGCCCTTGTTCCTCTTTCTTTCCTGACTGAACTTAAAGATTTAGATAGTCCTTTGATAAACAGTAGGAAATAGTTCTCTTTTCACCTTGTTCAACCATTAGTTCTTCTGACAATCAGATTCTTATTTAATCCTGGCTAACGGCATTAGGAAACATATTTTTCTCTACTAAGAGATTGAAATTTTTATGAATGGCAGCTTGACTTAAAGCTAGGCAGAAAGAGAAGAAAGAAGAGGCTTGAATCAGCTCTAAATTGAATAAATACCAATTGCCAGTCCAAGATTAAATTGAATATAATGGGTAGAGAATCACAGAAGTCTTAGCCGGGTACTTCTATGGAAAGTGTAGTCTTTAGGTATGTCTTAAAGGAATATTTACTTAGAAGTAATTGGATGGAAGCATTCTAAGATGTTGTTTTGATGGATTCTATTAGCAGATGACATGGATAAAAGGAACAAAACATGTCATGAAGCTTTACAATCTTATTTAGTATAAATTCTTTTGGAAGAACAAAGCAGTATCAAAATTGTTACTGGTGCATTTGAAATCTAACACAAAAAATGGAACTTGTAGTCTCTCAAATTGCAGCCTTCATGCAGTAGTAATGAAACAGTATATTCACTGTGAATAATTCTCTGTCTTTTACAACTTTCACAGGGTATTATAAATTATAAAGAAACAAATCCAAAAATCTAAATGATATCTTAGAGTTTGATCTGTCTTATTTTATGTTATCTGTCAGGTTTTGAGTACTGCAGGAGAATCAGAAAAAGATTACATTGTTAGATACCAACATTTTAGGTTAAGTTTATGTGACATTAAAGATGAGAATCACATTTTATAATAGTAACTTTACAGTTATTTTTGCTAATAATAATTTTCTTTTATCTGTTGTATATTTGGTGAGGCTTTTGTAGTGATTATTCTTTTGAGCCTGGCTGAAATTAAAGAAAATCCTAATTGGAGCTTTCTTGACTAAATATAATTATTTTGGGAAGAGTCAGTTGAAAAGGATTCATAAAACTTAGCTAGTTAGACACCCAGCTGCATACATTTATTTATGGCCTTCTACCTTGCTCATTTATTTTCCCAACAGTCTAAAACTGTTTGGAAGTTTAAATTGAAAGATTATTTATACACTTAAAATAGGAGCTTATTTAAAAATAATGGAGTAAATTATGAAAAACAAATGAAGTTTATTTGGCACCTTTTGAATACTGTTGAATTTTAGACTTGAAAATCTGTTTATGTCTATTTTTATAGCAATGATAATTATACTGGTCTAGTACCAATTCTAAGTATAATATACTTTAATTAATGTAGGCTTTGGTACTTTGTTAATGGACACTGATTTTATCATGATATATAAAATCTAAGTAAGACATGCTCACTTAGTTCCAGTCAAATAGTGTGAAAAGTGTGCTCTTTTTTATTTTTAAAATTTAGCCAGTTAAGGGTGAGAAAGTAAATCCTTACTGAGATAGTGCCTCTGACACTAAAAGAGATGACTATGTCTTGCCTGCTCTTGGCTCTAACAAAATTGCATTATTGGATGATTGAATAACTTGGTCATGAAAAAGTTTATTTTCTAAATTGATTGTTGACAAACTATGACCTGTGAACAAAATCCTGCCTGTTGTTGTAAAGGTTTATTGGAATACAGCCATGCTGATTCATTTACATGTTGTTTATGGCTGCTTTGATGCTACAATGGCAGTATTGAGTAGTTACCACACAGATCATCATATGATCCTCAGGGCATAAGATATTTACTCTTTGGCCCTTTAAGAAAAAGCATGTTCTGTAACTAAGTCTTTTGTTTCAGAGTCTTTTAAAGTTCTGGTGGAGGTTTATGAGGTTAGTATTTTCATGTTTAATGTCCCATTCTACTTCATTCTAAGAAAGAATACTTTAAAAAATGGTCATTTTGAGTGTTAGTTTCCAGCTTTCTCATCCATAAGTAGGGATAATACCACTTTGCATTATTGCTGTGAGGAGTAAGTGAGAAATGTAAATAAAATGCTTAGCTGAGTGCCTAAGGAGGAATTAAAGCAATGGGGAGATACAATCAGGGAAAGTCTTGGCATCTGGGTGATTTAGGATGGTATATTTTTAGAGATTCGGATTTGTCTGTAGAGCTATCTGTAGAGGCCTAGTTTATGCAGGGTATTTATATACATTGCTGATTAATTTTCCTCTATCCCTTCCTTCCTCCCTGCTTCCCTCTCTTTGTCCCTCTCTCCATTTCTTCTCTTTCTTCTCATTCTTTCCTCCCCCCTTTATACTTTCCTTCCTTTGGTTTCCTTTTTGATATATGCAAGCATTGGGACTAAATTTAGGTCAGTCAGGAACTACTCCTAAAGAGAGAGTATACAGAGAACCTAATACATACAAGATTCTCAGTTATTGTTACTTCCATTCTCTAGGAAGCAGAGGAACTCTAAAATCTTATAATCTCCCTCTCCTTCTTTATTTTTATGCGATAATATATATTGATAATCATCTAGGTATATGTAAAATCCACTTTTTACCACAGCAAATGTGAGGGCAGATCTTCAGGTTTTTTTGGTCCGTAGTGCCAAGGGTTCATCTTTAGGCAGGCTTGGTTTTCTTCTAGAAGGCAGGATAGATGATAGATTTTCCCTAACATTTTGAAGGAAACTTGAAGATCTGTTGATGATAAAATTGACCCTAGCAGTCTTATATTAGTTAGAACACTTAGTTATATTCTTGTTTCATGAAAACATAAACTTAAAAAGCTAAGTTATTTTACTTGACAGGTATTGTTAGAAAGATCAGTTTGGATCTTAGGGCCTAACTGCTTTAGGTTTCTGTAAAACCAACAATGTTATAAATAAGGAAAAAGAATCTTAAAATATTTTTTCATTTTATTGGTGTTCGTTATTTTGTGGTAGTTTTTAGTTCTTGTAGGTGTCACAGAAAAGATACGGAAAAGAGGCAAAATTCTACGATGATAATTATGGCATTAGCAGACCTTTAGATAATAGTATTAACAATTAGCCACATTTCCAAAGGTTGTAGGCCCCCTCATTTGAAAATCTTGTTATATGCAATAAATTTAATTTTATTTTAGTTTTACTAAATTCTTTTGTTTGTGGTTTAAAAAAGAGTTAAATGGGTCACAATTTCTCATTGAATATTCCTACTCTTGATAGCTAATACCTAAATGTATTAAGCTTAAATTTTATATACCACCATTAAAAGTAAAATATCCTTCCTGTTTTCTTATTTATTTTTACAGTAAGCTGAGATTTTGGTAGAGGCCAAGATCAATCCCATTTTTTTTCCCTTCGAGGACACTTAGTCACACTAAGATATATATGGCTTTTTTAGAACTGTAGTTTTAGTCAGTGTAGCAGTAGGACCATAAATGTTGAATTTACTCTATTTTGTGTATTCATGGAAACCAAACAACAAGGTTTAAAAAGTAATTTTATGTCTGGAAATAGGTAGGTAACATGGAAGGTGAGGGATTGTTTCAGTTTTTAAAAACTTTTGTTGAGAGGTTAAGAGTGTTATCATGCCAGGATATGAGGAGAGTGGGAGGAGAGTTCTAAGACTTGTTGAAACACAACTCTAAGACATATAGTATTAGCATTCTGTTTACTTGTAGATGAGAAAAACAAATAATAGATTGATTTCCTCTATTCAAAGGAGAAAGAAGAGAGGGGGAAAAGAAAAGAGACACATTTGGAAATAGTGAATTATGTTTTACCTTCCTTGGCTAAGCTGCTGATTAATGGCAGCTGGCGAAGAGACCAGTCAGGATATTCTGCCTTTCAACAGCTGGATATGTCATCAAAGAAAAGTTTTAGTTGTGTACGGGTCCTCCAGAAGACTTTGGGTGTTTAACTGTGACTTGCATGTGAGAGATTGTCTCTGTGTTATGTCTGCCAGTATCCTTGTTAGCGCTTCCATCTCATTTATACCAGATGTACATCAGAATTTCTCACTTGCTTTATTATGGCCTTATTTCCATGATGTTTTTTCATGTTATATTTTTTTGCATGTTAGATGGGCATTCCGAAAGTTAATGTTCCATCTTTCTGTGGTTTTGTTTGCCATTGTAAATCATTATTTTAATACTGTTTGTATGTAATTTTTTAGTTCTCAAAATCATACTCAGATCAAAAAGGTCTTAGTCTACTTGAGACTATGAGGGAGAACTGGACTATAATATGTAAAGCATATGGGGTGGATTTCTCTACTCAGATATCTAGAAGATATTATTAATAGTAAATCAATATAAAGTATTTAAGCAATTTATGCTATTTTACTTACTGTTACTTTGAAAGTTTAAGTTACGATTTTGGAATATTTTGCAAATATTTTCTGTAGTCAGATCACTGTTCCTATGTGCTTTTTCTTTGATGAAAAGTGGGAATAATCTTACAGTAAATTCTGCTTTTTTACAGTCAAAGGCCATTGGTTTGTTAGATGTGGATGTGTATGGCCCTTCAATTCCAAAGATGATGAATCTGAAAGGAAATCCAGAATTATCACAGAGTAAGTAAAGAAGAAATAAATATTGTGATAATAGTTGTACTTTCATTTAGTACCTATTGGGTGTCAGGCATTGTGCCAGATACCATGTGTACTTGTACACAATGCAGTACATTAAGTCCTCTCTTAATGTCTTTGGTAGATTCTTGGAAACTATGATTTTAAACAAAACTACGTATAAGGAAACCAATTTTGCCATAGGTTAATTGATATAAGCAAGAGTTAAGTTCCTGTGGCATATTTCTAGTCACAAAAACATTACTAAACTTTTAAATAAAGATCTAAAATACTTGTAATATTAAACATTGAAATAAGTGTGAGCTAAACATACATTCAGAAAGATTAATAAAAACAAGTAAGATAATTATTTACCCAATTTTTGGTGAATCAGTGAGTGATGGCAGTCATAGTGGTGGTGCGTTAAATCAAGGAATAAATGTTTGCAAAGTGAAAATTGTAAAGAGTACCTCCTGCCACCATGCAGTTCAAATACAAACAATAACCAACATGGCACTCTAGCCGAACACTTCCATCGCACATCATTTATTGTTTTGCATTTGTGTAATTATTGTATACTTTATAGTTTTTTATTTTATAGTAATCCGTATCCATTCATTCATTCATTCATTCGTTTTCTAACCTGCTTATTCCAGTGCAGGGGTGTTGGGGGCTGGAGTCCCTCCTGGCAGCTCAGGGCACAAGGCGGGAAACCATCCCTTGTTAGGATGCCATTCCATGCAGGGCGCACTCACATTCACACCCACACCTACCCTCATTCACACTGGCACCATCAAGATATGCCCATTCATGTAATGTGCACATCTTTGGGATGTGGGAGGAAACTGGAGTACCCAGAGAATACCCATGGAAACATAAGGTGAATGTGTAAACTCCATGCAAACAGTGGTCATGGCCAGGAACTGATTGTTTTCCCTCATCAATATTACAACAAGATGTTGAATGAAACGATGTTTTTTGAGGATGTGCTATATAGTGATGCAGAAATCAGATATGGTTTCGATGGATTTGGATCTCAGCTCTATTGCTATGTGGCTTTTAGTAAATTATTTAACCTCTTTATGCCTTCGACTCCCATATGTAAAATAAGGTTACAATTGCTGTTAGGATTAATATAAATGTAATGCCTTTAGCACAGTTCCTGGCACATATTAAGTGATCAGAAATGTTAGGTCATCATTATTGTCTCTTTACATTAAATGTGTGGATGTATAGGAATATTTGAATAGAAAATATATTTGTGTTAGAAGAGATGAAAATTATTTTCCGTAATCAGATTTTTGTCAGATTTTTCTTAAAGTACTTTAAATAAGCCCCCAAACACTGAATTCTCTTCACTAGAAAGAAGTAAGTTTTTGAATAAATTTTTAATATTTAATGCTCTTGTTACTGCATTTTCTTATAAAGCTACTAAATATAAAGCTTTAATAACAAGGAAATGTTATGATAAAAAATGAAGAAGTGGAAAAACTGGTACTTTTTCTTAAAAATGGTTTATGTGAAATTGCTTTATTAAAATGGATTTTAATTATAATAAGAGCATAAAATTGAATAATTTGGTTTCTTATTGGACTTTTTATTTTACATGGTTCTAGGACAAAATGACTGTATTTACTGGTGGGTGTTTGTTGGACTATCTATGTAGGTAATAGAAGTATTATTTTTTTGTTATTAAAAGTTAATTAGGTATTGTCTGCTATTTAAGGTGCTTTTGTTTGCGGTTTAGTTGTTTGAGTCAATTATAATGTAAGTTCTGGATAATTCTTTATGAGACAGTAAAGATTGTCCTGCACATTTTGAAGAAAACTTAAAGATCTAGTGATGTTTAAAATTGACCCTAGCAGTTTATGTTGGAAATACCCACTTGTTTTCTTGTTTCATGAAAACTTAAACTTAAAAAGCTGTTATTCTAGTTTCTTTGTTCTTATCCTTTTAGTGCAATACATACTTAGTTTGCAAATATATGACATGAGCCAAGATGTCAAGCTTACACAAAGAAGGAATAATGAATTTGAGTACTTTAAATGATGGATTCATTATATCTGTCTCTTTATTAAAGTAATGGGAAAACTGGTGCATGCAGCACATGAGTGATGGCAAAAAGAGCCCTCCATGTCAGTCTTTTCTTAATTCTTCAGTAGTCTGTTCAGTCTTTGCCAACGTAAATCCTTGAAGTGAACTTTAATTTCTTTCTTCTTGTTTTACTGAAGCTATAATCTTAAAATTTAATGTTTGCAAATTGGCTGCCATTAAACAGGCTTTCTGGTAAAGATGAGATACTATAATAGAAATCTTGGAAAGTCTGAAAAAAAATACTTTTTTGTGTTGATAAGCTGATCTTAAGTCCCTCAAGAAATAAACTGAATGATTAAGGTGTTCATTTAAAAGAATGTGGAATCTTAAAATCCCAATTTAAAAATTATTTTTTGAATCTTAGAAAAACCTGGCAGCATTATACTAATTGGCATCATTTTGACATTTCTACATTTTATCATGTTAATTTATCCTGTTGTATTCTCTATTACAGAAAACACAATGTAATATAAAATTATCTAATTAACAATAAAGAAAAACTGTGAAAGACTTGTTTTCAGCAGTTCAGGTTTTGGGGAGATAGACCAGTGAACTGCATCTTAGCTTTATAGGCGTTCCTTTGTTCTTAGACCAAGCTGGACAACCTTGGGGCAATGGGTCTCCAGAATTGCCTTTCTCTTCATTATTAAAACAGATGTATGGTAATGTAGTTTTTGTCAATGTGTTCATTTTAAAATTACACATTAGGGCTGGCAAATCATACATTTATCCACATTCTCTTCATATGCTTTTTTCTTTTTGGAGGAGTTGTAGAGAAATCAAACTTTTTGCAATTATGACATTTTAGCCTTGATTACCAAAGTAAATTTTATGTTTGATTTAAAAAATGAATTCAGTAATCAAAGAAAAATTTAAGATTATAATAGTTTTGGGCAGGCTGAGAATGTTTCTATCAGCTTAAAATGACAATAGTGAATTTTCTATGTGATCATGCAAAATTATGGTAATGGGAAGTCTAGCAAGTTTGTAGAAAGGGTGTTGTATAAAAACATCAACAAGTTGATATTGTATTAACTGAAGATGGCCAATTGTTTGGGAAACCTAATGGAATTTAGAATAAAAGCTATGTATTGTTGGAGAAACTAGCATCTAAGCATGAATATAACCTTTTGTTTTGAAAGAAAAAAATACCAGTTATTTGTTTTCCATTTTAACTTTCCAAATAACACAGTATTCAAATTTCATATTATAGTATAGCCAATTTAGTCCTAGAAATTATTGACTTGAAGGTTTTCAATTGAAATGGCAAATGAGTGTTAAATTGTGGTAGATGTGTTGCTCCATTTCACTAATGTATTAGTAATATTCTTTTTTGTGACCATATTGAGGGTTTTTACTAGGCTTTCTAAAATAACTAATTGGTACAAATATCCACTTTCTTTCATAGTTTTGTGATGAAAAATCACTTTTAGAATACTTATGAATTTTATTACCGTTTAATTTTACTGAAGAGTGTCTTCTAATGTACTGAGCTGATAAAGTAGGAGATTTTTAAGACCTGTGCAGAGAGGTTACTAAAATGGAAATGTCAGGTAATTTTATTGAGGATGACAGTGTTTATTAATGACTGAATGTCAGATTTTTTTAAGTAGGATCCACTTGTTTTTTTCTGTTGTGGGATAATAATTTTGCACTCATGTCACAGTTTTCTGCCCTATCTGTCCTAAAGGTATTAAGCTTTTTTAAGTGAAGGAGTGAATGTGTATGTGGGCTTATAAGACAGAGAAATTGTGGAAAATCAGCTTGGGCAAATGACCTTTTATAATAGCACCCATCTCTGAAAAACTGTGAGGATGGCATTAAGATTTCTTACAGGTAATTTAAGTGCATAAAGAATAAGAGTGAACTCTAGTTATTCCTGAAGTCACTGTGTTGTTTCCTTCTAGAGAAGAGATTTAGGGGTGTTGCCAAAGTTGTTGACATACACAATCACATTCCTATCCAACGAATGGAGCTCCCAAAGGATGTATAGCTGCTTACAGCTTGGTTTGGGGGTGTCAGGCCACCAGGCTGGGGTGGTTTGGCAGTGTCTTAGCCTCAGGGATGGAGGAGAGCTGAGGTTACTCACCCCTGGAGCAAGACATACTCCAGCCCATAGTTCCAGTTCCAACTTGGTATAGTGCAGTAGCCTCATGGGCCACAGGAGGTGGGACACAGTGTCAGCTCCTTCTCTGGGGAATCACAGCTATGTGGACCGCAGACAGCTCCCTCAGTTGGGCTTAGTGCCTGAGAAGACTGCAAGGGATCTCAGTGGTGAGGTCTGTAGGTGTCCAAGGTATTGATGGTGGTGGCTTGGATCTTGTTTACCTCTTAGCTGTGGAGAAAAGTTCCTCCTGATTCCCTGCTGATCCTTGTTGGGGGATGGGGTCGTTCAGGTCCATTGTTTTCAAATGTAGTTTATTCATTGTTCTTGCTGTCTTTGTGAGGGGCATGAGTACTTGCTGTCTTTGCCAGGGGCTTCTAGTTGACCATCTTGCTGAAGTCACTCAATCTGTTCTTTAAAAGGACAATCATTACAGAACTGGGAGAAAATAGAATAGTGATGTTTCATTGATAGCTTTCTCTAATTTTCAATTCACAAACTTCACTAGCCTACCAGTTGTTAAAATTATAGCCTAAAATTATATTATCCCTTTTCATCTCATGAAAAGTGATAGATTTAAAAATCATTATTGGTAGTATTACCATGTATAACATGACCAATATTACAAAGCTCTGTGTGATCTGGTCTCTGCTGCAACCTCCTTCTATAGCCTCCATTCCAGCAACCTAACCGTGTTACTCAGTGAACACTAGTCACAGTGGCCTGTTTGTCTCTGGACCTTCACAAATTTTATTCTCTCTGCTTGGAATACTTTCTGTCTCTATTGTCCTCTGCTCCCTATTGCCGC